TTCTGTTTGTATATTTGTGGATTACATTACTTTTGTATCTACGTGTAATACTTACTGAGGTGAGAGTCCTTCTTTAAGCTTTTACAGGGTTTTAAATCTCACCTGCACAATTCTGCTGTTGTGTTTTATTGTGCAAACAAATAAATACATTTCAAAATGTTGCCCTCTGACACTGTACAACACTGACCTGGTAGGAGTGAGCACCAAGCAGAAGATGCCATACGGGTCCTCTGACAGTTTCTGCAGCACTGGGAGGACAAACGCTGCCGTCTTCCCACTTCCAGTCTTAGCACAGCCCATACAGTCCCGGCCTGTGAGGAAGAACACACACCTTCATTCACCTGCTCTGATTTACTGACTTTACGCCTCCTGGTTACTTCCAAGGATTCAAAATATTAGAATACTTTCCTCGTCAAGTGGCTCATCCAAACTCCACTAAAAACATAATCAATTAATTGTATCTTTGCATAATCTACAAATACACACACTTTGAAGATCAACACTTGAAATTATTTCTTATCTACAGAGTTTTCTGGCAAATTCGGCAGCAGTCAGATGACATAAAATAAGATATTTTATAGTTTACAGTCACCAATGTATATTTTAAAGGAGAGAACCAAAGGAAAACAGTGGCCTGATCCCAGACCTGTGAATTGCTGACAACGGGATAATCACCAGCTATAAAGATAATATTTTAATATTTTATTTTATTTTAAGACCCGATTGGCCCATTTCATAGAAATACAAAAAAAAAACAATAATGTAAAAGTATAAAAGCATTTACCTTAACTAACAACAAGCACTGAGCAGTAAAATTGATAGATTTGTCAATGGAGCTCTGCATTACTTATCGGGACAGCTGAACGTGGATCAATAAGAGATTCCCATTACAGACAGACAGCCTGGTGACATGTTTTAAACCTGGAGACTGAACAGAGGCACACTCACCTTGGAGAATAGCTGGCATGCAGTGTTCCTGAACAGGAGTGGGTTTGTTGATCCCCAGCTGTTTACACTGTTTAACCAGCCAGTCTGACAGACCTAGCGACACAAAGTCGGCCATTTCTCATTGATCTGCTTCTCTCCGGCCGGATAACGACTCCTCTGTCTTTAATCTTACAACAAAAAAGCCACTGAAATACTGAAAAACATCCTCGTGTGTTTCATCAGTGGTCGCTGTGTGATGGCGTAGCAGCCTTACGCATTACGTGGTTACGCAGAGACGGCGACGTGTCGCTGCCCTCTGTTGGTCAAATATCGGCATTATCTATTATAGTTGATAAGGAAAAAGTGACAGCTGACAGTTTTAATCATATTATTTTTTTTAAATAGGACCTGAAGTAAAATCTTTGTTCACTTTGGTAACATATTTTGATGTTGACCCCCATCTTTATTGATAAACTAATGAGCTTTTGCCCCTATATACCTATATTTTATACTGTTGGTCACATATTAGAAGCTGGTGTCTTCTCTGTAGAGCCCTAACACCTCACCTATCAATATTTAATAAACTGTATATTCACCTTTCTCTGGCGGGAATAATTAACTGTAGGTTCCTACTGACAACTCCACCACCGCCTCTTTGTGCACTGTGTATGTATTCTACACCTCCAAACATACATAAACAGATTAATATCGGGAATGAATCAATTGACCACAATCCATTTACTCACTGGGGCTTTTGGGGGAACTTGCCAGCTTTGCCCAGTTAATCCAGGCTCGTTCAGCATTAGAGATCTACTGGGTCACATGTTTTGGTGCAACACCAGGCACTCACACTAACCCTGACGCTCCTCCCTATGTAAATCAGCCAAACTGTCAACACCTCCACATTTCACAGATCTGTTCCGGCTTAATTTTTCCTACGATTCTGTAAAATCTAACCAAATAAATGCTTTTCCATGACTACATTTTTCTTTCACCTGCAGAAGAGCCCTCAGTACTAAATACTGATACCCTACTGATCAGTGTCGCTTTGTTTTAAAGCTCCTCACCTGTTCCCTACGTTTTCACTGTATCTGCACCGTTAAATGCAGATGACATGACTTGGAAAATCTGGGAACATATGGGAGGAAAAGCAATTCATAGTTTCTTATTCTCTGTTTATCCAAAGACTTTAGATTTATTTATCTCTATAAAATGACCTTTCAGTCATTTGACAGAGATTGCCTGTCCTACAGTCTCACCATCGATAATTGATGATGAAGCAAGACAGTGTATTAGATCAATAAAAACCTTCTACTTTCTCTGTGAGACAAATAAATCAAATTTTATGTCAGGTTGTTTTTGTTTTGGCCTATTTTCGCAGTGGTAAATGATCATATATAAGTAAAAAATACATTAAGAATATAATAAATAGTATTCTTTATTTATTATAATCATTTCAGGGTGAGTATTCTTTTGCTGCTATGTGTAAATACTTTTTTTTAGCAATTATCAGAAGGTTGCTAATGTGTGTTGTAATGGGGTTACAACCTTTACATCCCCAGCTGGTATGAATGGATTTAAACCCTGAAATATCACCTCAATCAGTCTTTACTGGCTCTCTGTGCTCTCTGATTGCACTGATTTGTTCCTCTGACTGACCTGAAATAATTGAGCCTGAAGCACCCTCTGATGTTTATGAAGCAGATTTTTGTTATGCATCGGTCTGAGAGTTAAGAGGATTGCATTCACGAGCTATGAAACCCCAGAAGAAGATCAACAATATGCACGCACAGAGGTTGTGAAGAGGACAGTTTGGGTGTATCAGTGTCTTTTTGCTGTTCCTCAACTGCCCACTTACAACTTGAATATCAGGGCTTCCAAGACACATGTGATAAGTGATTAAAATAGAGATAAATATGTGGAAAGAATCACTTGTCACTGTGAAAATTTACATAATCTCATTTTCCTGCCGTGTTATTATTCCAAATACAGTCCAGACAATGAAATTAAGTGCAATTAAAAAAAAGCTTCTGTGAAAATTACATTTAAGATCTACTTCTCTGTCTAGACTTCGAGTGCAGATGATGACTTGTTTGTCACATCCTGCAGGTATTGTATTATTTTCTCATACCTGCCACAGTGAGTGTGAAGAAGCAACTGCTTGACTGCCGAAGGAGAGAAATCTTCAGCAGACCCATCTGTGTGTGCACACTGTGCTGCCAGAGGTGATTAATGCTCTGTGTGTCAAAGGCAGAGGCCTGGAGGTTCATCTCCATCCTGCCCACACTGTCCAGCTGTGCTGCAAACTGCCTCGAACCGGCTGAGTAGTGTCTTTTTAAATGAACATGAGGGTTGTTTGCATGTAAGGCAGAGATCTGCTGTTCCCTGTTGCCTCCCTGCAGCACAGAGGAGCAGTCAGCTGAATCGCTGTAACAGGCCACTGAGCAGCACGATTAGTGCACAGGAGCTGCTTCCGTCGCTCTTCCACTAGATTTGATGCTCCCATGTTTAACCTATATTCAAGCAAATAAGTGGTTTATTTGAAATCAGCAGTGACTCCAAACTGAGGCCCGTAGGAACTAATGAGGTGAAGAGCAGCTTTAAGTTTGTTACAGCAGTGAGTTTAACCCGTTTATGAGGAAGGTTGTGACACTTTAATAAGGAGAAACAAATGGGTGAAATAGCTTTTAGTGTTCTTTTGTCTTCTTCTTCCTTTTACCAATTAGCATTTCAGTTAAAGTTGTACATTTTCAAACCGATTTAACATCATGAAAAATCTAAATTACATTTAGTACCCAATTGTACCTAAATTGTATTTTCTCAACAAACAAACAAATTTCTCTGTATAATTTTATGTTTCTTTTGTGTGTGTGTCTGAATGATTACATGTTTTATGACTATAATGTGTTGGTTTCATAAAAAAAAAACACATTTAAATTGTGCTTTTTATGATGATGTCTTCATGTTTTATGTTATATTATGTGCTGTCATGTATGGTTGTCGATGTTATTGTGACATTTTAGATGTGCTTTGTACAAAGCATTCCCCTAGGGGCAATAAAGGTTTGATTCATAAACCTTATGCAGATTAAAATGGGGAGGAAATTGGCTTTCAAAAATTGCCTATTTAATCAGTGAGATGAGGAACAGCTCAGGAATTCAACACACGTTATTAATCTAATATATGCAAATCATTTTATAAACAGGCACTTTACCAGCTGAAGAAATCCCAGAGGAACTTCTATCACTTTTGTTGTGAGCATGTTTATCTGTTTTTTGATTTTTTGGATGTTGGATGGCCTTCTGACATATCTGTGCAGTATTAACCAGGTTTACCACAGTTTATTATCCCAATATTATGCGATTTTCACTGAGATGATCACAGTGATTTGATGACATAATCATGGCAATCAAAAATGCTTCCCTCCCTAATGAATAAAATCACTGTATCGGTGCACAATAGTGAGTTTATTGAGCTTTGTGGTGTTTTCCAGTCTTATATTATTTTGCTATCCCATCAACAGAAGGATATTTAACGTTTCCATGTGATTTTATCCATCATAGTATTTGATGGGATTACCATATAGCTCTGTATAAACAGCTTTATACTGAATATTATCTGATTTAACGTGAGATCAACAGAGTGGGTGCGGGATTGGACATCTGACAGATTATTTGCTGAAGCTTTTTTTGTAAAACAGCCATTTGACTTACCACCAGTGGTTCAGATGCCTCGCGCTTTTAGTACGCTACACTTCATAAATACGCATTGAGGAGGGCTTTTAAGACTGTCCGCAGGCCATTTACACATATTATATTTCACATTCTGGCATTTAAGTGGGAAGTAGGGACAATGAGGTGGGGGGGCGGGTTTGTGGTTTGCATTGTGGCCATAAGATGGCGCTGAAGAGGCTCCACGGTCCCACCGAGAGAGTTGAATGGGATCCCAGTGTGATCTGGCAGGAGGCGGGAGGGGAGCGCAGCACAAGTCCTGGAAGAGGTTTGAGCCAAAAGCACTCCACTGCCCGACTTTCATCGACATTCCTCCGTCTGTCCTGCCCGCAGAGCTGAGCCAAACGATTCACAGTGCGTAATTACGCACAGGGACGGAAGATCCGCGGTGTTGCTCGCCGTGGAAACCCGCGGACAAAGGCAGGCTGGAGTACAACAACTGACTTGAGAGGAGAGGAGTACTGTTGTAGGGGAAACGGGGGGGGATCTGGAGTCGGAAGTGATTTGTCTGTTTTTTTCCAGAAATGTAACTTGCGTACTGGATTTTGTGGAAGAAGCGAATCAGTTTGGAATAACCAGGAGAAAAGGACAAAAAGTGGAGCGGTGAGTGGAATCAGACCCCAAACCAGCATCCAGATCCACGGAGCATGGGGTAAGTTTGGGTCTTGTGTCTGAAATGTACAGTTATTTTACTCTCTCTGTCTAAAAGTGATTTTGTACAGATGACGAAATACTTGAAAAGTGAACTTTGTGGTGATTTTCTGCGCCTGTGGCTGGTTTAAAAACCACCGTCTCTTTTTTTTTTTAAAGCCTTTTGGAGCAATCGATCTGAATTCTAACACCAGTTCCCATGTGACACTGCGTTGTTCTCTTTGTTTACACTCTCAAAGACATAATCGAGAGAGCAATCTTTTTATTTGTGAACCGTAGAGCTTGACCCAGTTTCATCACAGGTCTGATGTCCGTTTGCACCGTAATGCCAGTTGTGACTGTAAGAAGGTCAAATTCACATGTTGAGAGATCGTGGATGTATTACATTAAAGTATTGGGCTGATACACACACGTTTTGTTTAAAATTCAGTCAAGCTGTGCTCAGTTCTCTCTCTCTCTCTCTCTCTCTCTCTCTCTCTCTCTCCTCTCTCTCTCTCTCTCTCTCTCTCTCTCTCTCTCTCTCTCTCTCTCTGTCGTGTGGTGTGGTGGTGGTGTTGTGGGCTTAAATTATACACGCCAGTCTTGAGCTGAACACACCTGAACCCTCCTCACATTACCAGAGTCCATGCTGTCAGCCTCCTCCCTCTGGGCCCGTACTGTGACACTTTGAGAGGATACTAAAATGACTGAATGGGAACAATTTTAGAGCTAGATAGCAGAGAGCTTCCTCAGCTCTCTGTTATCTCCATAAGTGTTTTACTGATATATTTTTGGAAGCCCATTATTACACTATACACTTTATTTACAGCAATTTTTGCTCATATTCTTCTTTCAAAGAGACAATGAAAAGAAATTTACATTGCAGCCCAATTTATATGTCATAATGGACAGATCACTATCAGAAGTTATTAATGCATACATAGTCTATTTATTTACAGCTTAAATGAGTCTCTATGGGGGGGATATCCAAATTCTACAGACCAGTACTGTACTGAACTGCCCAGTGATGCAACGTATTGGTACTCAAATGTGAATTGATTAAATTATATCAACAGCTGCATCCCAAATCAGTCACTGGATCCCTCAGAAGACATGCAAGTGTGTCCTTCAAATGTCCTTAAGACCAGGCTGAACCTGCACCTCCTCCTCAAAGGAGACGCACACAAACTGAGGAACTGCATTCTGGTGGTCCTTCACTTGTAGTAAAGTCAAATGTGGAGTTTACTGCACAAGTACCGGCTCATTGGGAAGTGCAGTCACACAACAGAAAGTTAGAAAATGTAACGATGGTTCCCTGTGTTCCCTAGTGAAGAAACTATCTCTGTCTTGTTCAGTAACGCAAATGTACAGTGACTGAATTATCTGCAAGGTGACACTTAGGACCCATCACTCAGTGGTCACCCTTAGGGACAAAAGAGTCTCTGAGCAACCTCTAACTCAATGTTTACTTATGTAACCTTCCACCACACATCCAGTATACCCAGCCATGTACTCAAAATGTAAGTGGATGTGTAAATGAGGATGGGAAAGACAAAGTGGTATCGGCACACACAATATCTCCATCATACAGCCAGACAGTGGAAAGTTTCAGGTTGACTGTGCCCCTTTTCAAGTGATGTCAGTGGCACATTAGCACCCACGGAGACCTGCTGTAAAACGTCTGCAGCCCAGTGGGGCCTTGAAACAAACATCTGGTCTGATGCCTTGGGTTTGATGCATTTATACTGTGAGAGGCACAGATCACTCGGTGTCATGAAGGACCTTTTGATAGACAGAGGCAGCCTGCAGCTCTTCTGCCTTCTTGACAGAAGCGAGCGCCTGGAGCAGGAGAGTCTTGATTAACAGCCCCTTCAGGTCCATAAACAAAAAGAGTAGTGGGTTCACAAGTGCTCTCATGCTGTGTGCAGCTTGCCTTAAAGTACTTATCCATGTCATCTAAACCAAGTAGGTCCCTGTACAAATGAAATATGTAATTTGATGGAGAAAAAGTCTCAACATAATTGAGATCTAAACAAAGCATAGTTTATGTCTGGCTTCTATTTACCACCTGCTGTAGCTTTTCCACTCTTCCAGTTGAGGGATATATTCATCAGAAACTGATTAACCAAACGAAAGCAAATACCTGGTAACACAAAATGGCCACATCACAATTTCTTGTCAGTTCCTGAATGCACCATTAAATAAATAATCACCAGAGGTGTCCCCAATTTTGTGCATGAAAAGAATCAGCATTTTGGGTCACATTTGAGCCGACTATTAGTGTGACTAGTATTTTAAAGCACCATTTTTAAGTAAACAGTGTTTAATCAGAGTGTATTAATTGATTAGTGTTTTTATGTTTTTGCTATTTACAATATTTATATAGTTACTTTATTTTGAAATCTGTCAAACATTGCTGTGATTCAAGTTATTTTTTCTCTGACTGGATCATTTAATTGTTCAGCATATTTGACCTAAATTGGATTATAGTTTCCAACCTCGGCCTACTTGAGGTAATGCCCTGTGTAGCTGCACTGTATTCTCTGTATTGGGACGTCTCATAATAATCCCTGAAAAGTTTCACTGGTCAGTTTTCTTTTCACTGTGTAACTTGGATCCTCTTTCCCCTTGTTCTGCTGCAGAGGAGTTGCCTGCGAGCTGTAAAATGTTCCCGCTACATCGAGAGAGGTATTAACACATGTCATCTCCTTGTTGTGGCTCTGCATGGCAGGGATGGGCAAAAAGTTTAGTTTTTGATCTTCTTCCAAATAATACCGAGCATCAGATGACTGTCATTGATACCTGTACCTTCCAACAACATAAGCTACAGCATAATGTATTACTTTGTCTGTATATGGACGGTATTTATCTGAGAAAACACTGCAAGTGAAACATTTGCTGAATATTTTTGCAGCTTTGTAATGTAAAAGTAAACATTACATCATGACATTGAGAAAGAGCTTTTGTGTATTCATGCTTTTGGCTCTGGTTTGATACTTAAGAATACAACACCAGCATCTGTACTTTTGATACTTTGGGGATCAATCCGCCCATCCCTACTTCATCAAACATTTATTTACCTCTGAACAAAATCCACCCTCATCACATCCCCATAATGTTTTTCCTTTTTTCGGTTTCTGTGGTTATTCTAACTGTATTGTTGGAGTGGAGGTGTCATGCTTGTCATTGGTGTGCAGATGTTGTCAGCTCGCTCTCCTCCTTCTTGTTGTCTCTTCCATCATATTGTCCTCCTGTCAGCTGCTCCACTGCAGCTCGACTGCTCCGTATACTGTTGGATTGTTTTGACTCTTTAACAGTGCATCATGTTTTGTAAGTTGGTATGTTTTGCATGTCAAATCTTGATTTTGTAGTGGTGTAAAAAATGCAATGTTTTCCTCTGACATGCAGTGGATTGAAATCCTCAAGAGACAATACTGCCGTACCGATACCTCAAGTCACTGATTCCCAACCTGTGGGTCCTGGTCCCCACTAGGGGTTGCTAAATCTTAACGGGGCGTTGCAAGGCCTTGTTGATTTTAAGGGCTGTAAGAAAAGATGTAAGAGAAATATTAGTAGGCCTGTATCTCAGCATTTCATTTATTTCTGTGGAAACCAAATGGAATTGTTAGTTTTAAAGTTTTGTAGATTATTATTTAAGATATAAAGTAAAAAAAAACTCCCAGTATAAGGCACTTTGAAGGCCTGAACACAAGCTTTATTCCCAGAGCGTTCACTCTCTGCTAAACAGCCTCATCCTGAGTTGGAAAAGTATGCAGTTAAAATAACCAAAGAGCTAACAATGAAAACGTTACACACACACACACACACACACACACGCCCTGTTTGTGATTTCAAAACAGAAAAACATAATACAGACAGAGAATAACATAAAACGTTCCTAAAAACTTTAGTAAAAGTCATCTCTGGGGCAATATTCACAGGAAATAATCTGCTCAAAATGGATCCAAATCACTAATTTTACACAAACGACATGCAGTTATTGCTCACTATTTGGGTACCATGTACAGGCTATCAGTTGTTCTGTACTGTTATTGTTGTGCACTGAATATAATATAAAATATCTTTAAAATATATCACTTAGTCGGAGGTCGTCATTTTACTCTGATAGAAAAGTAGTCTTGAGGAAAAAGGTTGGGAACCCTTTATTGACTCAAATCCAAGCTAACAGCCTTGTCACACTGTAAAATGCATTTTATATTCTCCTTATAAGCCATTTGATGTTTGATTTTCAAAAGATGGAGTATAAATTTAAAATTGTAGCTTAACATTTCAAGAGATGAAATGTCACTTTCAAGATCAATAACACTTTCCACAAGTGGTATCAATCTTCTTAACTCTGAAAAAGAACGGGATTGACCTAAAATTCAATTTCAGTTCAATTCCCTTTGCTCTGAAGTATATGAGAAGGTAACAGCTGTTAAAAAGCAGTGTATATTTAGACAGTGTGTGGCATTTGTCACAGTATGATCATCTATCTACATAATTACAGAGGAGTCATTTGGGATGGTGACGATATTGCTGCCCATATCATCTAATTTACTGTTGAAATCTGCCTCAACGTCACCGTGCAGCCTCCCTCTACAGCACAGAGGATGTCTAAACTTTGGTTTCAGCGGGAACATAATCAGTTAATTTGCAGCATAATGCCATAAAAACGGTTCAGCGTCTGCGTCCTCCCACTGGCCAAGGAGAAACCAGCTGGTCTGTGGGGAGAAGAGCTTCCTAATTGCTGTTTTGGAGACATCTGCAATTGCTTGAATAAACAGTCATCCTGGCTCACTCTCTTTCTGTTCACTTCATTTCACCGTGTTTTATTGGCATGAAAGTGAATAACAGAAACGCTGGAGGACGGGCATGAAAGATCAGGTCTTTTCTCTGTGTCTCTCCGCCCTGACCTTCATATCAAAACACACTCAGCTTTTTGTCACCTTCACAGTGTGAGACAGCAGTAAGTTATCAGTCATACTTTTGCAAGAGGAGCTGACCTTCAGATAACTGAAGTGCTGTTGTTCAACACAACCAGAGCTCATGGTTTTGGCAATGTTGACACTTTAAGGCTTGTGGTCATGCAGTGTATTGTTCGGCATATTCTGAAAAACCACTTTTACTTGTTTCACTCCAAAGCTTACTTTGCAGCAATGTGAAAAAACATGTGCCAACATGTATATGTTGTGCTTTAGATTTGTTGAGCAGCTACAGTATGAGTTAGCGTTCACACTCACGGTGCTATTTTGGTATGTAGTTGTAGTTGCGTGTCGTGTTGCTGGACTGGGTCAGACACTCTCGCTGGCTCAGGAATGTGGACACGAGGCTTACTTACTCTCAGAGGTCAGAGGAAGCAGACCCGTAAAGGAGAAATGCTTTTAGAGGAACAAAGTGAAACTGCCAAAAAAAAAAAAACATCTCTTCCTGTCTGAGAAACCTGAAGTCCCTGAAGGCTGAAAAAATCACAGCAGAGTTCCAGTTTTTTTTGTGTCTTAATGCGCAGATGGTGAAAAATGATGCTCTGCTGATGAAGCACTCAGCTGACACTCTCATTTAGACCGAATTTACTCTTTTCTAAGCTTATGGGTCAACACGTGTTTTTCAACCTGACAGTCCGAACATGGCTGTCTGTGAATACCTTCGGATTACTGCAGAGCTGTTAGAAGATTTCTAGAGATAACCCTGTAGAACGTACGTACTGACAGCAGTTTCTCGCCCTCTCAACTATATATCTTGCTCAGATACTTGAATGTGAATAATATAATGCGAGTTGTTGCATAAACTAAAGTTACATCAGACCGTCTGCAGTCTTTACACATTCATACATCTCCAGTATAACAGCAATACTGCAATACTGACCGCTCAAGTTAAAGGATAGGATCACAGACTGTCAGCACTCACATGTCCATACGCACATTAAAACAGTCTTTGTTCATAATTATGCTTTTTGTTCATATTGGCCACAAAGAGATCCACAGTCCTTCTTCTCTGTAAAAATGCATTTCAAAGCTTCAAAGCATCAAATAGTTCTGTTTCACAGTGAGTCTTTTTAGTACAGCAGCCCTTCTTTCTGTCCTTCACTCAGCAAGGAAACACTGTCTGCGGAAACAAATAGAGGATTTTTTGTAATAAAAAGACTGTAACTTTGGAATTTATTTTAGTTATGACTAAGTCTGACTGAATGCTTCATATTAACTAAATCCATTGTTGCACAGTATGAGGAAAGTGCTTTTGTCCCTTATTACTTTGATTAAAATCTTGGAAGGGATCTCTTCACTGTCAATATGCACAGGATGAATAAACCAATAAACTTTGTAATGTATGTGGCTAAAGACTTGAACAAATGGTATTCTCTACTACTACTACTACTACTACTACTACTACTACTATTCTCTACCTGAGATTTCTTACATCAAGGCTTTTTTTTGTGATATTGGGCTGAATAATTGACTTGACTTAAAGCACACAGTGGTATAATATAATATAATATAATATAATATAATGTTACATGGCCATTAAACAAGCCCAGAGCACAAAAATATTGAAGTTACAGTGACATAAAACAGAGAGAAAAGGAGCAAATTCTCACATTTTGAGATGCTGGAACCAGCAAAAGGTTTGACATTTGTATGCCTGGTGCTTTGACCCTCACTTAACCTTTTAGCCATCTCCCTCATCAGATCCCCTGCAAGTTTTCTGATCTGCTGTTTCAAGTGTGAACGCTGACTTTAAAGTACAACCAATAGGATTTGTGGCAGCGAGTTTTGCAGCTTCGTCCTCCCCCCTGAGGCTATTTACAGCCCGCAGAGCTTATAGGCTCCGTTATTGGCAGTTTGAGGAGTATTTTGTCAACTACAGAAGTGACTGGTCGGGTCTGACTGCAGGCCAGACAGGAGGGTGCAGCTTCTGTTTCCCAGATCAGAGATTCAGGGTGCTGAATGGATACTGAAGTTAAGAAGAGAGATGAAGAGAGCAGTGAGAGAGGATTAGAAAGTGATGACTTGGGGTGAAGACACACAGATCTCAGCACCAGTGTGTGTATGTGTACGTGTGTGTGTGGGTGTGTGTTTATGGTAACTAGACACTGAATAAGAAGTAGTTTTCAGAAAATTCTGAGACCCGCTGAGTATTTTATTAATTGCTGGTTGTAAGCTTATCAAAAATTGTATGAAAGTAATATTTAATGAATGTATTCATTAAATATCAAATCTCATCCAATTCAAACCCATTTAAAAAAGAGACATGAGTGGTTGAACTGCAGGAACTGAAGGCATTATGTGTTGCTCAGAGCTCTTCAGCACTGTGTGGTGGGTGTCAGTTGTTGTGTTGTTTGATTCTTGGCTCAACTATTTGCCCACAAAGCTGCTCAAGTTCTTGGTTGTTGTCTTGTTTGTTAGGAATGAACAATGACCCCAGAAAGAACACCAGTATTATGATCTCTCTTTTTTATTTTATTTACACACACTACATCTGAAAGTTTCCTACATAGCGAAACTTGTCTGGCCCAGTGATACCCACACAGCCCACTTATATTTGGCCCAAGTGCAGCAATGAATTACAGTTCAGAGGTGGTCCAGACAAATCAGGACACTGAGACAGTAAACGCTAGGCCTGAACATAAACAAAAAGATAAGGTTGTGTCTTTGCAGCACTACAGTACTTGATTATAATGCTGTTTGGAC